GAGGGGAACAGCGGCTTGGTGCGCTGCCAGGTGCCCGTGCTCCTCTTAAATTCCCTAACATAGTCATAGTTTGTACCTGAATTAACGAAAAAAAGAGATGGATTGCTTAAAACTCAGCGCACCTGCCACCATTAGTAAGGCAAAGAGAGCAGGCACAGGAACACAAACCAGTTGTCTGCATAGGTGGTTGAAATTATCATCAAAAAGGAACTACTATGACATTTCTGATCTACCTAAACCCATCAAACTTGGAATTTTGTTTGTTTATATTTAGGAGAAAGCCCTGCTACACACTCATATACATACACATGGCCACAAAAGTCTTCCAAATCTCTTTTACAGAGTGTGGCCAGATGCTGGCAGCTGCAAACTGAGTAAGTTTGATAGCACAAACATACTTCGTGTTTGGTTGGGATTGATAGCCAAGAGTCACTATCACATCCTTATGAACCACGGGACGATGCCCCTAGATTGCAGAATTGCCTGTTTCCCGCTGCAAAGACAGGAGTTACAACCTCAGGCACTAACAGGTCTTCTTACCCTTAGATAAATGCAGTAACACACTCTTAGTCTTGACCTCTTGTGGTCTTCAAACTAATCAACTAAATCAAGCCAATGCTAATGGCACTGAACTTCTTACTGAACAGTCCAAAACCAACCTGTGTGTTTGCTGGATTTGGACATCCAGCATAATCCCCTTGACCAACAGTGACAGAACAGTGTCCCAGCCTCTTATTTTTAAAATATTCAGTCTTCATACCAAGTATTGAAAATATTGGAAGGAAATGAGCATAAAGAGGTTTTTAGTCTGGTTCTGACCTGTATCGAGATCTCCAATCACGTATATGCTGGCTCCGATGGGCACAGCTCCATACACAAAAGAAGAGCTAGTTGGGATACATAGGTTCTGGTCATTTAGATAAATCCACCTGTAAAAATAACAATTCAAAAACAGGATTTGATTTTTAATGAGCACATGAAAAAAAATAATCCTAAGTCTTTTTGCAGCTGTAATCTTTGACTCAAAAGCAGAGTTTACATATTAATATGTTATGTGAAGGGAACATTGTATATTTTGGGATAGTCCTGGTTTCTCCTAGCCAGGAAAAGCAGCTGGTACTGCTGTATCCTGAGGTTGCTCAATTTCAGAATTGCTCCACTCATCTCTGTAATCTACCTTTAATAAATTCTTCTTGCAGCCACACAGTTGTGACCTTCTGGAAGAGAGCAGGCATGTTAGAGAGCCAACAACAGCAATGCCAGTCAGTCTTCCCTACAGAGAAAATTTTAGGCAGTTTTGTCTTAAAAATAGTCTTTAAATTGTCTTTAAAATAAACATATAAATATTAATGATCCATAGTAAGGGAAAAAACAAATTGCTATAGCAGAACCTTGTTATTAAGCAGGGTCTCCCCCATATAATTCTTCAGCTTCTTTAACAGTGCTTTAGCAGGGACAACAAATCATTGCCAGCTATGAAGAATAAAGCACTTGGCAATGCTTAACTTCAAACAAGGGATAAAAGACTGGAAATCAAAGTGGTAATGGAATTTGGAAAAGAAATATCCTTTATCTGGAATTGCCACAGATCTTCCCAATCTCATACCAGGCTCTTTTCAATCCCTTTCCAGCTCCTACAGTAATCTTACAATTCCCCTGTGTTCACTGTAAGCTCAGGCTCATTTCAACACTACATCAGCCTGATCTTTCCACCATGTGAAAAGCAGTTTTTCTTGTTGAAGCCTTTGGAAAACAGGTAGGGATGTACTCCTCATCCACGTGGGATGCTGGTTTATAAAGAGGTTCCAAGAGTTAGCAGCATCCTCTCTGTGGTTCTGAACAAATTCCTATAAAATGCTGCTGCACCTTTGCAGATGCTGTCACAGTTACCACACATAGACCCTGACATGCACAAATCCAGGCATTTCAGGGGACTGCTCCTACACTTCTTATTAAATGATTTACAGAGAACATAAAGGTCTGAGAAACCTTTGAAAATCATCCCATATATTTTCATGGCCATACCAGGTTAATTTGAAGGAAAAAGTTGGAAAATGCCCTCCCAGATACTGCTGATCTTTGAAAATTTTGTATCATCTGAACTCCTGATTCAGAAGTAAACCACTCTTCTGGCCCTGAAGGAGATGTTGCTCCATATCAATTATCTTGGAGACAGAAATCAATTTTTAAAGGGCAAATGAAAGGATTGGCTGTCCATTATTTTGTCTGTGCTGTGCACTGAAGGATTAACGTTCTGCACAAAGCAAGGAAATGGTTTGTAGCTGTCACAGAGGAGGACAGATGGACTAACAAGAGAAAAGGAGAAGTTCTCACACTGGTTTAGAAACTCTTACAGATCAAAACAACTTGCACCATATTTCATTAGCTTCCTTCCCTTACTGTAGGAGGAGGACTCAGTATTTTCATTGCTTTTTAGCAGCAAGTGACCTAAGATTCTGAAAACTGAGTAAGTAGCAGAGAAATGCAGAAGAAGACTGGATTATTATTATTATTTTTTTTAAATTCTAACTACAGGACCAGATTAAGGAAAGGAAAAAACTCAAATCTAGTATCTACACTAGATACTCTGGGTTTTAGAGTTCAAGTAAAAAACCTAAACCCACAGGGTGAGACCCAAGCATTTTCCTACTGTGCATCACCAAAGGACAGCATTAAAGTTTCTGTAGCTGCTTGTAAAAATTCATCCTCAGGCTTTCTCAACGTGTATGCTTTAAAAAACAGGCAGCACTTTTCAGGAACACTCACAGCAGCTTTAGCAGTTAAAACTAGGAAGGAACAAAGACAGGAAGGGCAAGGGGTCACGTTTCATCAGAATTTGACTAAGCTCCAACTAATGTGGGTTGTGCCTGCTGTTTGAACAGTATGGAAAAAACACCATGACCAAAAATTCACAATCTTCAGGAATCTGAAAACAGTCCTTGGAACAGAACTCTTGCGTACTTCCCTGGGTTGGCTCCACTCAAACCCAGTCCAAGAGGAGCAGGGGGGAGGCAAATCCTGCTGCAACCAGGGGCAGAAGTGATGGCTCTGAAACTGGAACAGGATTCCACACAATTTAAAAAAAGAAGGGAAGGAAGCCCAATTTCTTTCAGTCTTAAAGTGAGACAAACAAAATGATCCATCCACACTGCTGCAGCTAACGAGTGGGATGGGGGTAACTGCTTTATTTCCAAGTGGGAAGTAAATAAAGATGTGATACAGAGCCAACATATTCCAGACACGTCACCTCAAGATCACCCCAGCTGAGAAAGGAAGCTTGGAAATGAATAAAAATCCACATTCCTCTCATCTGACAGTGCTGTCAATCAGTGTTCTCATTACATTTGCATAAGCACTTGCTTTTAATGAAATTCATGCACACTGACTGGAAGAATGTTGCTAATTACATATACTATGTTACAAGACTGTTTAATTCACTAGTTATATGCTGCTGAAAGCTCTTCCTTATTTCCATGATGTTCCAGTAGCAAAAAGAACATTGTAAAGGATATTTTACCAAAGTATTGCTGCTGAAAATTCTCTCTCGCTTTTATCCCCCTTAGTACCTGCAAATTTTCACAATTCTTTTTTAAATCATGAGAAGGAAGAAATCCTACCCCACTTACAGACCACCAGGAAAAGGCAGCAGTGGCCATACACCAGCAGATCTTGCAAAGAACTCTGAAGTCAACTTGGGCTGTATTAAATATTTCCAACCATCCACATAGAAAAGAAAAAACTGAGTGTGTACAGACATCACGCAATTCTCCACTCACCTACACGGTGCAAAAAGTGTATTATAAATTATGAACTCTGATAGAAAGTCTGACCCATCAAGGTCTTGATGTATTTAAGACTTCCTGCTTTTTATGGAGTAGACCAACACTGGGGCACTGAGTGAAGGATACCTTCACATTTTCATCTTCCATTTTCACATTCATTAAATCTGTTTTTAGCTTGATCGATATTTAAAAAAAAACAGGATACAATGCACACAAAGCTCAATCTATAGACTTTGAAAAAAATCTACATCCTGCAAAAACCCTGCAGTCTGACATACAGCTTCTTCTATCTTTGGGTTCACTTAAATCCACTCATGCACGACTCTAAAGACAGCCTGACAAAACATTTATTAATTGAAAAATCTCAGTTACAGCAGCACTTCAAGTATGAGAATTATTTCCAACATTACCCTGCTCACATTTCATGTGGATGCTACTATTTTGTCTCACTTCATTTATTCTATTACTTGTTTATACAGCACAGCTTAACAGGAGTCTCAATGTTTATTTTTTTGCTAGTGTGAAGATCTCAGCACATCCCCAGTCTTTGAAAGTCTGCATCATGGTTAAGAATAACAATTTTGAAAGACTCTGCACTGTGAGTTATTTTAGAGTAAGTTGCTGTCAAAGTAAACAATATTAAACAAGTCCAGTCCTTTAATCCAATTCAAGCCAGAATTATGGCAGCTTACATGAATTAATATGTTTATATACTGATGTGAGTACATCCTTAGACATTCACTCTGGGTAAAACCTGTAACTCAGACACTCAGGCTCTGGGTGCCTGGCAGGATGCTGCAGCCTGGGCTCTGGCAATGAGGCCTGAGGCACACATGGGAATTTGTGCAGATGACACAGGTGTGCAGTGCTGCACGTACCCCAGAACCAGCACCACCCACAGCTGAACCCACAGCCCAGAGAGTTCTCTGCATCCACACAGAAAGTGAACACAACAGAGCTCTCCACTTACTTAAAAACAGCTGGAAAAGCCCACAGCTTATTACAAGTATTGGCAAATAACTTTTTAAAAAGTCACTGTGAATTTTGGTTTGAGACTGGTAGAATTGATCTGCTACACAGAGCTCTGTGGGTACTGAAACCTGGGAGAACTGACAGACCCTGGAGCTGGGTGCTGGAACATGACACAGAGACACTGCACCCTCTTCTGGCTACAGCACCCCTGGCCTGAGCTGGGGCCTCTTAAACCCTGGGAGCAGCTGCCACCATCCTAGCCTTCCCTGGTCCCCATTCTCCACAGAAACACCCCAAACCTGTGCCCTGCCTGCAGGTTCATACTGAGTTACAGTTCCAAGCTCAGACTGGGCAGTGGCAGAGCAGAAAAGCAAAGTCTGTATCTGCCCTCCCCCTGTGGCTCCTCCATCATCTCCATCAGTCAGCTCTGCTGCCTGCCCTGCCCCGTGCCAGCACAGCCTCCCAGCACACAGGCAGCACTCAGAGCAGCGGGGCAGCTGCAGCTTTATCACTGCTCCACCGGGATCCTGCAAGGCCTGGGGATGCCACCAAGCAAGGACACAAAGCCGTGGCACAGTCAGCAGGTGGCACCATGGCAGCACCCAGGCTGGGCCCTCCCAGCTCCCCAAACTCCACTGCATGGAAACTCAACCTGTGAAACAGGTCTGCAGCCACTGCTGAGGAACCACGAGCTATAGCCTTCTGAAGAACAGAATCAGGCTGGAAATATTTCAAGCAAATCAGCTGAAAATAGCAAGCAGGAGAGAGGGGAGCACTTCTTTCCACAGTTCTTTCCCTTTCAAAGACCTCTTGCAAAACATTAATAAATTTCTGCCATTTCCCCAGCCTCCAGAAGGCTAGCAAACACTAAGGGAGCAGCAGCAGCCCCTCTGATCTGCTTCTTTTAACCAATTTAAAGGATGTTTTTCTTCAGCTTCATTTGATTACAGCTAGCTTAGACATCACTTTGAACAACAGAGAAGACCTCTTCATACAGAAATTAAAGTCTCTTTACAGCCATATCTTGCAAGAAAATTATATAATGAATTTACATCTACTGTTCTATTTTTGTGTCCTTTTATACAGGTCACTGTCATAAATCAGTCTTGATCTTCTAATAAAGACATGCTAATCTCCTTCACTTGTCAACAAGCCTTGAAACATCTGACCACAAAGTCTTTTTTAAAATTTAATTTATGAAAGAAGAATAATTCAATTTACCATTATATGCAAGACAAAAGTCACTGGAGGAACCAAGCTTGCCAGTTATGACTGCAGAACAAGGTGACTAAACAAAAAATTCAATGTAAGGTAACATTTTGAATGGTTACCACATATAGTAAGGTGGATTCCACTACCAGAACCAAGAAATGAAGTAATTGGATGCAAATTCAAAAGAAACAGAAGGAGATGAGCCATGCAGTGTGGGGAGGTGCCTGTGGGATGTAAAGCATCCATAGTGTCCTTCCTATGGCAAAAGCCTACATGGATCATCAGCTATAAACACTTGGAACAGAAATGCATCAAATTTCTTATCTCTAGTTTAGGAATTCCCTAAACTGCAAATCTTTGGAGATAGGGTTGGATCACGAAGAAATATCCCTGTACATACACACATTCCTCTATAGAACCATGGCATCATTTAGGTTGGAAAAGACCTGTGATGAGCACTCAGCAGGGAGCTGTGGGCACGAGGAGGGGCGGGGGCAGCAGTACCCTGCACCTGGGGCACTGCAGAGTGCAGGGGAAGAGCCACAAACTCCCTGTGTGACCAAGGTGCTTCTCCTGTCCAGGGCTCTCAGGACCTGGTGGCTCCAGGGCTGGTTAGAGGGAACAGTGGAGTGGATGGGCCTTCAGCAACAGCCAAACCGGGTGTGAAATGAGCCACAGACACGTGGCACAGACCTCATGTGAATCAGAGTGCAGGAACAAGGGGTGAGGCAGCAGCAGATGACTGGATGGCAAGTTATTTTCTGTGTTTAGAGCTGCAGCAGTTACCTTTTAAACTCATCATGATAAAATTCTGATTTGCACGTCACCATCTCACTGGCTTGGCTGTCGTCACGACTCCTGACCCCACCAAATACATAAAGCTCAGAGGCAACTCCACAGGCCACTGCCCCAAATCTGAAAATCCAAACAAGGAGAAAAATATTAATGCCATGTATCAAAACCCTTTTGCATACCCCTCAGAACCTTCTTCATCTTTTACTCTTTTATTTATTTATACACACAGATGCCTTAAATATCCAACAAGATGAGTCACGGATATTAATTGTAAGCACCTAATTCAGATCACAAAAAAAAAAAAACCAGTAAAAATATTTCTCTCTAAAAATACTGTGAAGTTCCAATTGAACTATAATTTCTTGTTTTCACTTTGCATCAGGGCTATATTTCTACAAAATTTGTATTTATTGTTTGGATTCTTGTCTTTACTCATCCACATGTTAACTACAGGCCACCACAACTCAGACCTGGTGAGATTCATAGGCCACCTTCTCAGATTCATCAGGAAAAGGACACTTTCCTCCCATCATAGAGTTGGAAAAGCAACCTAGTCCCCCCTCTTCCATTTTCTCTCACCTCCTCTCTTTGAGAGGACAGATTGCTGTCCACTGCTGAGTCCTGGGGTCATAACACTCCACAGATTCAAAGAGTTTTCCATAGGAGCCTCCACCCATTGCATAGATTTTCTTCTTCATAGCTGCATAGCAGCCAATCTTATGGGAAAAAAAAAAAAGAAAAATATATCTGAAATGACACACAAATGCACAGTATTGAGAGCTCAAAGCTGTCTATACACACACAGAGGCATTTGGATTGCCTATACCCCATGGCAAACAATGTGAGGCATAAAAATGCTCAGGCACAGTTTTGTTTTGGAGTATAAAAAGAGAAGAAGCTGCTCACTCTCATTTCATTTTGAGACTTTTTGCTACAGCTTCTACTTGAAGCAAAATATTAAAATACATATTTTTATACATATATACATACACACACACATACATATATCTGCATTGACTATTTAACAAGAAGCAACACAATAATATAAGATACAGTTTTTACCTTTCTAACCATGGTCAAGTCTGGCTGCTTGGTCCAGGTCCGGCTGTAAATATCATAGCTCTCCATAGAGATCAGCTCCCTTTCACCATCCTCACCTCCCAGAATATACAGAATCCCATCAATCTCTACCACACCAAAATTATGTCGTGCCTAAGGAACATCAATAAAGTCAACATTGAAAAATATAACTGCCATTGGGAATAAATTACCACAATCTTATTTTTCAGACTAACTGTCTGCAAAGTGCTATTGGTATTATGCCTGGCTTTTGTTTTGGTTTTTTTTAAATGGTGAAGTCCTAAACTTCATAAGCATAAAATTATTAATTTAATCAACTAAACAAAACAAAGGGTATCAAAAGGAGAAAAAAAAAAAGCAGAGTAGCAGAAGCCAAAGAGACCACAGAGAAATCTAGGAAGAGAGCTTGGCCATATTGCAGTTCCATAGTGGTGGTCTCTACAATGAAGCTGCTGCTTTCAGGTCTCTTTAGCAGCAAAGCCTGAACGCATTCTCTGTGCAAAGGCAGCTCTTCTATTTTGTATGTATGAGCCCAGCTACCCCTCAGTCTCACAGCAAACATATCACAAGCAGGAAATTTAAACTAAATTTGTAGTCAAATCTACATGCCTTTGTCAACCAGAGATTGCAAAGAGGAAAAACCTGTGGTAAACAACTTCTTAATTAACACCCTGTGCTGATTTACAAAGATAAAAACACAGGTGTATTGAGGATATATGTTTACAAATAACAAACTGTTACTTTTTGATGGAATGTAATTATGAAGAAGGAAGCATTAACTCAAACCAAACCTAAATATGTCTGTGCAAGCCAAGTTCTGTATGTTGGCCAGTCCTCTGTCCATCTTTTCTGCACAGTCCGATCCCTTTGTCCATCTCAGAGGTCTCTTGTTTTAGAAGGCCAGTACACGCAGAACATTAAGTATACTATAGGACTGATTCATTATGAAATTCCTGAAATTTTGTAGTTCATCTTACAGTAAGCTCTTCACCAATTGTTTAGTTTTTCCAGATCCAGCAGTCAGCATCAGACCACAAGAACAACAGGATATAAACAGAAGTCAGTCTGCAGCATGATTTTGAATGTGTAAGATGCAAGCGACTGGAGATTCAGAATAAAATTTTGCAGAAGAAAAGGAACATTTTGCCAAAGTAAAAACTTAAATCCCAACAGTTAGATAGAGATCTTGCCTCATGCATTGGTGGTAAGGAACTCCATGAATTGGTGTCTGGATCATATTTCTCTCCAGAGCTTAGCGTTCCCTTGTTTTCATCCTGACCACCAAGCACAAATAAAAATCCTTCTGTAAAACAAAACGTAACATGATCTTAAGAAAAGGACTCTCAAGAAGAGGACTCACACCTGCACACTGAGTAAAACAACATGACTGGTGAGCTGTATTCTGAAATTCACCAAGAGATCCAGACCAGTCACAGGTCAGACTCTGGACTGGAGAAGGTAAAGCACATACTTACATCTGACTCAAGTCTGCCCCTGCAGATACCCTTCAACAAATTCAGTGATGCAGCAACTAGAATTTACTTAAAACATTAAATACTCCTGGAGAGACAGATGTAGCAGATTCCCACAAAATGTTGCAGGAATAGTGATTTTAAGACACTTAGATGACAGGGATTTTCACAGAATCAAGTACAGTTTTGGGCAGACAAAGGGGAAGCAAGAAATAACCCCAGTGCAGTCAGTCTTGAAGAAAATATATTATTATAAGCTGTATGTCAGATTTTGAGGCACTGGTAAGTTTTGATAACATGGACTTTACGAAGATGAAGTTCCCCTTTACCTGCTGACAATACTCCATGATTGATCCTTGGAATACTCATAGGAGCAAGTTCAATCCAGAGCTGTCTATTGGGATCATAAAGAGGACACATACACCGCATCACTGAGGTTGGTTTCCGTGATCTGAACACAGGGTGGGGAGGGAACAAACAGAAACAGAAAGACAAAGACAGAGTTTTACGAGTTCACTGTTAACAGCTCGTGTCCAAAGCTGGCTTGTTCTTGTTTTCCTGTATATTCATCACGTGGCATTTCCCTGGTAAGGAGAAGATCCCCAAACCAAACATGTAAATTGAGTTTGTATTGTACAGACTTGGAGACAAAAAAAGCTGATTCACTTCATTCCTACTCTATCTGCCTGTAACTTTTTTTATGAACTTTGAATGAGCTGAGAAGAACTGATAGACAGTATTAGTAATGTCTGAGCAAAATGATTCACAAACTGACATGCAAAATGTTATCTGAGTGGTTTACTACGCTTCTATAAAAAGCTAACATCTAAATGCTAAATTTATTTAAACAGGATTGCACCCTCCCTTCTGCTGCAGGGGGTACTCCAGAGAAGGAAGGGATTATTGTGTGGAACAGGAATTTTCACCTCATCTCAGATGCAACAATAATGACTATTTTTTTTTTTTTGGAACCACATCTGTTAGAAACAAAACAGTTTAAAGTACATGTTCATTACCCCTAAGTTATGTTAGAGATGCTTTTCAGATCATCAGAAATTATTCTGTGTTTAAGCCTATTCAGTTTAAAAAAATCTAACCAACACTTACTGAACAAACAACCCTACTCAAAGTTTACTACATGCTGAATGTCAGAAACAAAATAACTATTTATTGCTGAATCACCCCCAAAGGTATTTCAGGTGTGTCTGACCAACCTAAAACAAACCCAAATGACAGAGTAACAAGCACTAGGTGCGCACATCTGTGCTTTCAGGGTGGTGAGGGCTGGCACCGGGACCAGCCGTCACAGCACTGCACACTTACACTCTCTCTTCCCCCCCAACAGTCACGATGCACTCGGAGTAGCCCCGGGGCTTGAAGGAGGCCAGCATGGCCTCTCCCTGCTGCGGGGGTGTCAGGGGGATGTTGTTGCACTCCTTGACGATCTCGCGCACCAGCGGCTCGCTCATCATCTGCTCGCGCAGATACGCCGCGTCCAGCCCCGACACCCACACTGCCGACATCACATCCTTCATGTGGACCTGGGGACAGGCACACACACAAAGTCACCCCCAGCACGACATGCAGATGCTTCTGTGCTTAGCAAATACTTGAGAGTTTTTGATATTGGTGAGTAATAAACTAAACAAGAGAGTTTTAGTAAGGAAATGCATCAAGTCCTCAAAGTTTCTCTGTAAACATGCAACTTGCTTTCTCATCATCCAAACAAGATTATATAATCAAATGTCAAAATGGTGCCTTTTATTCTTAATGCCTATTAAATAATGAAGGCAGCAGATAATATATCGTCCACACAGCTTTCACACTTTCACTGCAATGCCATAGTCTGCATTTCAGGCAAAATTTTGCAAGATTTCAATAAATTCTGTAAGATTAATAAATTTCAATAAATTCTGTGAGATTAGTCCTGAAAGAAACATCTATTTCAAGTTCCCACTGATAGAATGAACACTCCAATTTGTGACATGTTCAAAATACAAACATTTGGATGTCCTGACCTTTCTGGATTCTGAATCATGAGAAATCCACCTAATCACCGCTTCAAAGACGTATCTTTCGTTTCCAACATTGAGCTTTTCCATGGACAGCACTTCTTTCAGTTTTTGAGGAGTCAGTTCCAAGAATTCCTCTGTGCTGCTGACATCTCGAAAGTGAGTTTCCAGATACTCTGAGGCAAGGTAGTGAACATGATGCAAACAATAGTGCAGTGCAAAGTCCCGAATACCAATACAGTTCTCAGCAGCTATGCAACCTTCTAAAAACTCACAGCAGAGAGTTTTTAAGTCTGTAAGCAGCAGGAGATCAGCTGCCTGTACCACATCTTGGATAGTTTCTTCATTTAGCCTGATCTGCAAGAATTAATTTAGAAGTTATAGCTACTATCACTCATTTGTTCCATGACATGCCCGCATTCATTACACTCATTCTCAGTGGCTGAAAAATGGAGTATTAATGCCAGTGTAAGAATCAGGAGAAACTGATATGACTGCTAACCATTAATTAATTAACACAGGGTTGGAAAGGCATTTACTTGACAGAAGGTGTGGAGCAGAAATTTTGATAAGTTCCTGAAGTAACCAACCATAAAATTGCTCATCTCATCCGGGAACCTAAAATGAGTTTTGCTGTAATAAATAAATACATTCTTTTAAACACACACGAGGAATGATTTCAAGCCAAATCTGCCTTTTTTTTTTTTTTCTGCTGAAAGCTAACCTTGTTCAGCAATCTCAGTGTGGTTACAAATAAACTGGACATACCAACTTTAATTCCTGCTAAGGCTCCTGGCAGGCAGATGTGACAAGAGGCCACAGAGGTGGGAGCAAGGGGCAGGGAGGGAGAGTGCCTGGTGTACTGTAACCCTCAGTGATGGGGTCTCCATCTTCATGGCTACCAAAGCAGTCCTCTGTCACAGCTGACAAACACTGCCTGTTTTAAAGCAGATTACTGAAGGTAGACACCAATTTTAATACAAGGATTTGACATTGACTCTAAATTTTAAAGTCCTCCCCTGCTACACAAGAAGAGGAGACGACTCCTGCAGAGCCTACTGCCTCTACTTCATATGCACAGTCCCACTCTGCAGAACTTCTATCACAAAGCTTTAAACTTCTTTCAGGATAGCAGTGTTAAAACTCCAGTTTTTTTGGCAAATAGTCCAAGTGAGGTTTAGGGGGTTTTAATACCATACCTGCCCACTGAAGATGTAGTCTAATATCTCTTTCATGATATCAACAGATATCCCTTCAAGTTCAATCTTGTACGTTGAGCCATCATCCTTTGGAGGATTGTAATTCAATTTTGTTCTAAGAGAAGAGAAAAGGAAAAGAACAAAGTTCAAAATCTGGGCACTGGTTGCTGTCAGTTTCTGAAGAATCTTAGACCTCAGAATATGGATGTCTTGAGGCACAACAGAGATGTTAAAAACTTTCAATGTGATGGAAAAACTGTCCCTTGTATTACCACATAGGTATGGCCTCTGATACTGCTCATCACTTTTCCAAACTGAACAAATCTGTCAGCCTTGCAAACTACCCAGGCCATCAAAGAGCCAAAGTATGTTTTATCCCAGCTCATTCATCACAAGCATTCAAAACCTTCACTCAGACTTCCAACAGAACAGCGGCTTTGCTGACAGATAAAACACGAGAATTTGCTTTGATAAAGGTGGGAAAAAACCCAGAGCAAAACAAAACCAAAACTTTTTTTACCAAGGAAGAAATAATTAGAGTTAGCAGATGTGATCAGAATATTCACTGGCAGCACAAACATTTGGATTGCATTACCATTTTGTGTAGTTTATGATGTTATCAGCCTAATGCTGTGCCTGGCTGTAACCAAGCCATGCACTCAGAGTTGCAGGGAACAGCCCATGTGCTGCTCAGCAGAGCTTTAAATATTCACATACATCAGTGGACACTTCCCTTACAAGCCATTTCTTTAAACATACCAGGAGCACTGTGATGTGCCTGTGAATAGAATGGTGGAGGCTAGGGGAAAAGGTGAGGAAGTAATAATAGCACAGCAGACACTTTGCTTTCCACCAGCTGTCACTGCAAACACTTCTTACAGGAGAGACAACTTTCGTGTTCAAAAGGGAGCAGCATCCACCAGTTTGGTGCAAACAGACACAAGAGCTAATAAAAGATCAGGTTTTAAAATATTTTTCCACATTTTGGTCAATGAAGAATACATTATATAAAGACAAGAAAGTTTGTTTCCCCACTTCTGTGTATATATAGTGACCTACATCTACACCACAGCACACTAAAATAAAAGCTTTTACAACTTTTTAACATTCATTTGAATATATCCTTAGATAGAATCCATTTCTTAATGTGAAAAGCTGTGGCTTTGCTAAGCTGAAAGTGTCCAGCCTCCTGCTATCCACACTCATGCTAAGCAAATACATAAATAGGTCTTAGCTAAGGGCAGATTCTGCCTCACTTACTCATATCGGAATAAATTAAGTTTCTCACAAATTGAGCTGTAACTCACATCAAATAAAACCTTAGTCTGTAAGGAGCTATTTTTAAGTGTGAATAAGGGCAGTAATTTTAGCCCTTTAGTTCATCATCATTGTGGTCCTGCCTCCACATTCCTTTTCTGCTCTGCAGAGCACCCGGAGATAGCGGTGCCCATGCACCAGGGCTGGAGCTGCTTCCCCCTGGCACAAGTTACAATACAAATAACAACAGCAGCGTGGCGTGGGTTAGGAAATTGTTTATTTCCTAACACCTGGAAGGAGATTAGGAAAGTTATGTGACTCCCATTAAAGCTCATGCTGTAACAGCAGGCACTGATTTACGGCTTGTCAGCTGAAAACTCCTGCCCCAAATGTACATTTCCAGCAAAACATACAACGTGTACCTCAACCTGAGCCATCCTTGCCCATGTGCAGTGTGCATTTTCCATGTCTACAAGCTCCAAACAGAGCAGATACAAACAGGGCAACGTGCCTTTAGACTTCTAACAGAGCAAAGGCTTCTTTACACACATTTTCAAATCCATCCAAACTACCTCCACTTACACCTGAGCTCTGGGATTCTTGGTTTGTAACAAAAGGCACTTCTGGATTCCTAGGATGAAACTGTATTCTTTTAATTTAACAAAAAATGTGTCAAGTTTCACAGTGTCTGGCTTCCTTCAGCAGAAAAGACAGCTGGGTGACGCCTGGATCCCACATGAGTCAGGTACCTGTTAGTAGCTGTTATGATCCAATACACAGCAGTATCTACACAGAACCTGGGGTGCCCAACACACTGAGGGGCTTGAAACAAGTCCAAGGCATATAATAAGCATGTTGATGCCAGCACTAATGGGGAGATTAGGGAAAGGCCTTGTGCTATTTATCAGTAACTTTCATCTTAGCATCACCTGTACACACCCAAGCTAAATCACCTCATTGTGTGGACTTTACACTGACGCCTCCTGGTAACAAGAAAGTGTTGTTCAGAGTTTTTGGGTCTTATCAGGGTAGATGTTCTAATTACTGTGTACTTTTTCAGGCATCAACAGTTTGTGAGCTTTAAAGAAATGACCTAGGCCCTAATGCAAAGCCAAAACACGAAGCCAAAGCAGAAAAATAACCTTGAGAACAAATCAAATTACTTCAAAGTTACAGACACTTGTATCTAGGCAAATATTCACCTTATGCAAATGCTTCCCAGTTCAGATTAACTTTTATTCCTATCATCTGTCATGGGAAGCAATAGTGATGCATCTGTCACATGATTTTAATTTGTTGGTTAATAAAATACAAGGTTATTTATTTCAGTACAAGTACTTCTGAGCTATGCCAAGAGAGCAATTCCCAAAGGCAGCTGGAGGTACTCCTTGTAACTCACATCAAAACTGCAGGACAGCTACTGCCTGTTGGGAAGAGGGAAGGAAAAATATGATGCAAGGACATGTTATAACCAGGTTTGGGGCTGGAAAAGTGTAAGGAAAAAAAAAATCATGAGTCCAAATGGAAAGAAAGCTGAAGGAGGAGAGAAAAGTAGGAGGTGTGCAAGCAGAGGGCAAGGAGCCACATCTTCTCTTGCATCACCCAGCACCAGCTGTGACCTGCACCCACACCTCGCCTGCAAACTGAGGCCTGGGCATCCCTGTCAAAACACCAGAGACAGAACGAGAAAGTTTCCAAACATATTTGTTCCCAGCTCAGAAAACAATGGGCAGCACATGGAGAAATACTTAACCCTTGCCTACTATCAAATTTCACTTCAGAATTTAAGCAGAGGCTTTCCAAGCTGTCAGCATCCCAGAAGGAGGATGCCTTCCTGCTGCCATGCTCCTCCTCAGGGTGATTTGTGTGGCTGAGAGCTGGAAGTGGCAGCCAGCAGCCCGAGGTGCAGAGATGGGCCAGCTGCAGCACAGCTGCTTCTAACGCAGGCATGTGACAGCTCCCTACTGAGGACAACACTTCTAATTACTTTAAAAGCACTCCAAGCTGCCAAACCACAGCTGAAAAGGCTGCCTCAGTCTTCCTTAATTCAGATGGAAGACCAGAACATCGAGATCTAGAAGGAAATAATCCTCCCAGCCAACCAAAACCCCCATGAGCTGGGAGCAGAGCACAGGCAAGACAGAGCTGGAGGAAATGAAACAAGGCAACTTCTTCATCCTGTTTTCTCAAGTAATTTAATTTTGAGCAACTTGACTCTATACATGTTTTAAAACAGTAATTTCCATTTTTTAATTAAGACCATGATTGCAAGTTGAAAATGCTTCCAGTAACATTAAACTGTTCCATAAATGCTCAGCACCAACATCCTGTGCCTCATCAGGAAAACTGCTGGCACACACAACACCTTGAGCCAGTGGCATAAGAACAAATGGGTTGATGTTGTGTTTTGATGTTGTCTGTGTGACAAATTTAGAATCTGCTGTTCCACATCACTTAAGGAATACAATCCTAATGAGTCATCTGAAACGCTCTACATGAGGCAGAATGAGGATAAAAACTCCAGTACCTCTTCTGTGGAGGTAAGCAGTACAAGCAAGGTGAATCCTCAAAATGAAAACACAGGCCCAAGAACTGATATTGATGCTGCTAGGAACAACAATTTACCTCTAATGACATAAAACAGATGCAAATAATAATAATAAAAAAACAACCAAAAAGCAAAACAGGAAAATAAGACTGTCCACAGCTCTTACTACAATTAGGATGGAACTTCCAACTTACTGTTTTTAAAAGAGCAGAACAAATCAAAGCACACTCAATACTTCTGACCTTACAGTCAATCCCTGTGAAAGCACTGTTGTGGGACAGCTAAAATTTATAAGAAGCAGATTGAAAAAAAAAATCCATGTGTCTGAAAACTTGGTTTTCTTACATTTTAGAGCTGAAAGTTTATAGGAGGGGAATAATTGCTTTTAAATACTCAACTAGACAAGACAACAAACAAAATGAAAATTCAAACTCAGAACTTGGCCACTACCAACACCACGTCCTTCCTGAGTCAGACATAATTGTGTGGGAATATTTTCATCTTTGAAATCTCTGCCTTATCTGTAAACTACTAAGAAAAGAAAACTGATGTGTTTTTACAATGGTCACATAAGTTATACAGAGAACAAGAGCACAATTCTGGAAAGCTTTAATCCTTGCAGTGCTGGTATATTGGAACCCAAACAAACAAAGAAAACACCTGTCTGCAAAGACTGTGCCTACCAGAATGCTCCAGACCACATCCACCACAAGCAGGTTGTTGATATTTACAGTGAACAGCCCTCAGAAAATCTGGGAAACAAGAGACAGACGCATTGGGTTTGATGCTTTGCAACACAAAACTTTTACCTGCTCTCACGTCACCACGGTGCAAACACAGTTTGCTGACCTACTTACACTGCAGGGTGTCAGCAACCAGACGAGAGGGAGACACTTGTCTTTTGGAAAGGAGCTGTCTTCCCAAATTAATGATTTTGCTCCAGATTAGCCATTAAGGGCCAGTCTACACATGCTTTGCCAGTATTGCCACACTAGCAAACTTTAATATTCAAGCAGCAAAGCTGTCCTTCGAAACCAAAGGGCAATAAAACTGGGGTTTGATGATTTGTCCTTTACCTGCACCAGTGTTTTGGCCTTCTCCAGAGAGCATCAGCCTTTTAAAAGGAAGTTGGACCTCCAACAAATTGTTCCAGCAAAGACATGCACCAAACCTAAAACATGCTCACAAGGATGACTCAGTCCCAAAAATGACAAGTGAGTACTTGGAGATTTTGCATCACTAAGGAGAAAACAAAAAATCTGCTTTTGATGCAAACATAAAGTCAATTTAGTCTCCTGGTCTGGGCTTCC